TCTTTCTTTTGCCTGATTTCTCTGGCTAGGACTTCCAGTACTATGTTGAATAAGAGTAGTGAGAGTGGACACCCTTGCCTTGTTCCAATTCTTAAAGGAAAAGCTTTCAGCTTTTTCCCATTCAGTAAGGTGTTAGCTGTGCATTTGTCATATATGGCGTTTATTATGTTGAGGTACTTTCCTTCCATACCTAATTTATTAAGAGTTTTTATTCATGAAGGGATGTTGAATTTTTTCAAAAGCTTTTTCTGCATCTGTTGAGATGATCATACTTTTTTTTTTTTTAAATATTAAAATCCATGGCCTGGAGAATTCTGCTTTTTGAACACCCAGTTTTGATGCCCTGAGGGGGTGCACCATTCCTGGAAGTACTGCAATACCTGGTGTATGTGTGAAGTGGACAGAGCAAGCTCCTATTCCATCTCCCTGCTCCAAAAATCCATTTAACGTATTATCCTCGAGTAGAGGATGTATCAGATATTAAACTGATAAGAACAGCTACTACATTTGATCTTAGCCAAAAGGCCGAGAAGTGATCATCATGTGGTTTTTGTCCCTCATTCTATTGATGTGATATATGATGTTTATTGATTTGCATATGTTGAACCATCCTTGCATTCCTGGGGTAAATCCCACTTGCTCATGATGTATTATCTTTTTGATGTGTTGTTGGATTCAGTTTGCTAGTATTTTGTTGAAGATTTTTGCATCTATCTTCATCAGGTATATTGGCCTATAGTTTTCTTTTTTTGTTGTGTCCTTGTCTGGTTTTGGTTATTAGGGTTATGCTTGCCTCACAGAATGAGTTAGGAAGAATTTCCTCTGCTTCAATTGTTTGGAATAGTTTGAGAAGAATTGGTATTAATTCTTCTTTAAAGGTTCGATAGAGTTCAGCTGTGAAGCCATTGGACTTTTCTTTGTTGGAAGACTTTTTATTACTGATTCAATCTTGTTACTTGTTATTGGTCTGTTTAGGTTTTCTATTTCTTCTTGGTTCAATCTTGGTAAATTGTATGTGTCCAGGAGAGACATTTTATCATCTTTCTTTATTGTTATCTTCTAATTTAACCTAACATTTAGATACAGCAGACCCATCACTTTTTTTTTTTTTTTTTTTTTTTTGAGACAGAGTCTCACCGTGTTGCCCGGGCTAGAGTGCCGTGGCATCAGCCTAGCTCCCAGCAACCTCAAACTCCTGGGCTCAAGCAATCCTTCTGCCTCAGCCGCCCAAGTAGCTGGGACTAAGCCTAGCTCCCAGCAACCTCAAACTCCTGGGCTCAAGCAATCCTTCTGCCTCAGCCTCCCAAGTAGCTGGGACTACAGGTATGCGCCACCGTGCCCGGCTAATTTTTTCTATATATTTTTAGTTGTCCGATTAATTTCTTTCTATTTTTAGTAGGGATGGGGTCTCGCTCTTGCTCAGGCTGGTTTCGAACTCCTGAGCTCAAACAATCCGCCCGCCTTGGCCTCCCAGAGAGCTAGGATTACAGGCATGAGCCACCACGCCCGGCCAGACCCATCACTTTTTATGAATTGTTGGCTCTAAACTACTAATCTGGCTTTTTTTACTCAGCAATATACTGGAAACATGGTTCTTCTTCAGCATTCATAAAATATTAAGATAAATGTAGACTCACATATAGTTGTAAGAAATAATACAGAGCTCCCTTATGTACTTAGCCCAATTTCCCCCAATGATAACAGTTTGCCAGACTCTAGTATGGCTTTATCACTTGTGTAGGTTTGTGTAATCTACCACCACAGTCAAGCACTAAACACTTCCAACACCACAAGGTCTCTGGTGTTGTGCTGCCTTTTATAACCACACCCCACTCCCTCTTGCCCCTGCCCCTGCCAGGATTATATTTCATTCCTGCATTTTATCCTATCACATGGATGTTCTACAACTTACTCAACTAGCACCTACTGTCAGACATCTTTGTTATTTGTGGCTTTTTTGCTATTATAAATAGTGGGCGTCTTTCTAAGTCTTTGCTTCTGTCCCAACTTAGCTCTTTGGTATAAATTCCTAGAATTGAAATTGCTGGGTCAAAGGCTATGTTCATTTGAAAGATTTTTAACCTATTTCCAGGTTTTCCTTCCACTAGGCTCTCTCAGTCTACATTTTCTCCACGCAACTTGCTTTCAGACTAGAGTCCACTTCTTCTTGTGAGTCGATGAAACACTCGTTACTCATTACTGTAGGAATTATTGGGGAAGTGCCCACCATCAGCACCTGACACAGAGCAGTTATTCAAGAAAAGTTAGTGGAATTTGGATCTGAGGAAAAAGAAAAAAGAAAGCAAGAGAAAGAAGGGAGTGAGGTGGGTGGAAGTGGTGGCAGGAGGAGAGGCATAGACAGCCCACGGGAACGGTGCCTGTGCTGGCCTTGTCCGCCCCCATCCCAAACCCACGCACCACATCCACCAGAAACCCACTTTTCTTCAGTCGCGCCAAACAGGCTATGCTTATTGAAAGGTTTTCTCCCAAGATTGCCATCCTGACCTCAAAAATAAATGCAGTTTGCTGCTCCATGACTTTGGCCGGCCAAGAGGAGCCAGAGAGGCGGCCCGGGGCTTCCTCTGCCAGGCCCTTAAGATTCAGTAGCCAAAGTCTCCCTTGACTGCACCAAGGCTGTCCTGCTGATGTAGCAGGTCAGAACTGCCAAGGGTTAGGAAAGGCCGTCTCAAGACAAAGGCTGTTTATCTGTCGCCTTGCCTCCAGCCATCCTGCGGTTTTGGCCCAGAGAGGAGGGGGAAGGCATCAGATCCACTCTTGGGATTTTTGGTTTCCTTTCGAAATTTGCATCATCTTGTGCAAGAACTGGTTTGTCAGGGCTGCCAAGTAGGGCAGCAAACCCTAGCAGGGCTTCTCAGGGTGGTGGTGACTTCATGTTTGGAATGCAACAGTGAGATAAAGTATAGCTCAGAGTGTGTTTGTTCAGTTAGTATATTTTTAAAACTCCCACTCAGTTTTGCCTCCCGAGCAAGTCCAAATGTTAACCCTCTGTCATATGCTCAATTTGGATGTGCGTGTCTGAGTGCCTGGCCCACTCTCGTGGGGCATTCAGCACAGAGAGAAGTTGTGCAGTTTAGGGGAAGGAGCACCACTTTGTGTCCTGATTCTGCCACCTAAACCAGCTGTAACTTGAGCAGCTCCTTTCACTATTTGGGGCCTCATTTTCTTTTCTGTGAAATGGATACCCATCTTTCAGGTTTTATCTGGCCCAGTTCCTATTTCTTATTATTACTGACAGGCAAAAACCACAAAACAGAACTAAGTTGGAACAGGGTGTACTTACTAAAGGAGTTTAGAAAGGAAAGCTCATTGTGTGGGGGGGCTTTGAGAAAGCTTCCAGGAAGTGGTGAAACTTGATCTGGGGTCTGAGAGGTCTGGAGAAGCAGAGAGAAGCAGGGAAGGTGTTTCAGACAGAGAAGAAGGTGAGTGGGAACAAGTCTGGAGAGCCTGGGAGAAGATGAGCTGGTGCTGAGAAAACACAGTGGAGGCAATGATCATGCCTGCTTTTTGCCCATCGCTTTATTGTTTTCAGAGTTCCTCTCGTCTGCCCGTAGTAGCCTGAGCTCAGCAGGGCCTCTAAACAGAAGTTAATGGATTGACCCCAAAGTCACCCAGCTAGGATGTGGCTGAGTCAGACCTGGGTTCTAGCTCAACTGCTCTCCAGTCCGTGCCCTGCTGCCCTCCTAAGGGGAGGGAAGGAGGGAGGGATGGCTCGGGAGGAAAGAAAAGCACTCGGGGGCAACCATATCTTGCTGTCAGGGGAGACCAGCTTTAAAAAAAATTTTCCTTCAACTCTAAAGCTAAAAAATGGGACGAGAAATTTCAAAGATAGAGGCTCCAAATGGAGAAAACAGCACTTCTTGTTCACATTTGGGAACGATTAGCACAGAAGTAGTGGCTGATTGAGCTCTACTGCCCAGGAATCCAGGACAGACACAGGTCCCTGAAGCACACCGACTAGCCTAAAACCGGGGCAAGGACTTTCATTGCTAAAGAGGTCCTGGCTCAACTCAGACTTGTTCTCACACACATGTATGCACACATACACACACATATGAATGCACACGAGGCAGGAAGGAGCACAGAACCTGGAGTCAAGTTGCCTCTGGCTCCAGCCTCAGGTTTCCTATTTGCCAGGTGTGTGTCCTTGTCGGTTGTCTGAGTCTCCATCTCCTGGGCTTTAATCAGGGAGTAATGATACCTACTATACAGGGCTGTTGGGATAGATACAAAATCACTTTATAAACCTAAAAAAGGGAAATTATTAGAAACCATTCACAGATATTCACAGCAAAGCAGCCCTATCTTGCAGGAGAGAGTTGGTCTCCAGCACCGAGGAGCTAGGAGACTTGTCTCTAGAGCCTTCCTGGGTAACCTGGAACAAATCTCTTACCTTTCTTGGACTCAGTCCCTCTAAAAAGAGGCCACCCCCGACCCTTTCCTCCCAGTAACTCATTCATTCCTTCAGCAAACATAGACTGAGGGCCTGCCGAGGGAGGTAAGTATAACCCCACCGCTGCCCACAGGTTGAAGATGGCCTTATTGGGGAGACAGCGTGAAATTACAGCACCATCTGGGATCTGGACGAAGGGCAGAGGAAGCTCAGATGCCTTCCATTGGAGTGGGAGCTTGAGGGATCAGGGGAGGCTTTCCAGAAGAGATGACATTTTAGCAGGGCCTTGAAAGCCAAATAGGTATTTTCCAGAGAGTAGGGAGGGGCAGAGGAATTTCAGGCGACGGTGCATCCTGTGGTAGAACAGGCCTGGAGGTGGGAACGAGGGGAAGATGGGCAGGAAGTTTGTTCTGGGGAGCCCTGTGGCTCAGCTGTGATGGGGTGGCAGAATGGGAGGTACCGTAAGGTGGGCTGGAAGAGGCTGCGAGGGTGCCGATTGATCACTGTAGTGCTCTTCTGCAGGCATTTGTAATTAAGTCATCGCACACATCTGGAGGCAGGCTCCAGATGACTGTATGACTCCTCTTGCCATTGCTCTGAAAACAGTCTTTTTTTTCCTTTTGATGAAATCCTGCAGTCTGCTCCGATGTACCAGTACCTGGATAGGAAAATGTTCAAAGAAGCCTACCAGATTGCTTGCTTAGGCGTGACAGACGCTGATTGGCGTGAGCTGGCCATGGAAGCTCTAGAGGGATTAGAGTTTGAAACAGCAAAGAAGGTAAGCATCTAGTCAGCATGAGTTGGAATTTGGTCCTTGGAGGGTCCCTTGAGGAGGCAGAAGGGAATGCAGATGACATGGAGAGGCAGAAGAAGCAGACTGTATCGGGCTCCGGAGTTACACTGACCTGGGTGTAGATCTCAGCTTAGCCACGTCCTCACTGTGAGCCTGGGTAGGTAAGAACCTTTCTAAGATTGCTTCTCTTTAGCGTTGGGGCGGCAATAGGCCCCATACTCACAAAGTTGGGAGGATCTAATGGGATAATGACTGTAAAGCCTGCATAGGAACAATGTCTGATAGATTCTGGCTGTCACTCTTATTAGTATTATTTATGTAAAGCACCTAGCTAAAAGCCTGGCACATAATACGCAGTCAGTAAATGGTAGCTTTTATTGGTATAATCATTATGCCATTTATTAGGCAATACTGTTTTTCTTAGCACTCTGCTAAGTGTGGTGGAAGAGATGGTCAAGTTCTCTGATTCTCACAGCAATGTGGTCACTTCCCACATACCTTCATGGCACAGTTCATGGACTTGATTCGTGTGTCATTTCCTGGCTTGGTCTATGAAAGCTGGAGGAATGGCTGAGACCATTCGACCCCTTTCCTCACATTAGAAGAAGCCTAGGTGTATTTCTGAGTTGCGTTTCCATCTAGAACCTGACTGAGGTGGAGGAAGGAATGGCTTCCAGCCCCCTCTCCCCTACTCCTCCTTTGCCTCTTTGCCTTCCCAGTAGATTAATGAGATTCTCATTTTGTCCATACTACTGGGCTGAACTGAAGGAGTTGCAAAGAGGTATGTGATGCCGCCTCTTGCTAAGTCAAGGCTTATAGGCATGAAAAGAGGGTAGATTGGACCACACTAGGATTCAGAAGCCTGGTTGAGAACAAACTGTGCCATGTAAGGGGCTCTGCGACCTCAGGCAAGCCACTTCTCTCCGAGCCCCAGTCCTCCCATTTCTAAAACGGGGATGGTGAAAACACCCCCACAGGGTCAGTAAGCTTACCTGAGACGTAAAGGAGAATTTAAAACTTGGAGTGGCTGTGCAGTTCCTAGCCATTATTAAAACAAGAAACATTTTTGTTATATGATACTTATCTGTATTATATTTTTAGATCTAAGTGTAGGAAAGTGGCAATAGAGGAGGGTTTTCAGAATTCAGGAGGGAAGAAGCATCTCCCTGGAGGGAGCTTCTCTCTCTTGCCCCACCCAGGAATGCCAGCAGGGATGAAGAATAACAAAGGACTCTTAGAGTATGTTTTGTCTGTTTTTAGCATGGAGTGAAATTAAAAGTCTTGCCTCTAGTCTAGATTGTCACCTCCTTACACCCAGGAACTAAACACGTACCTGGTCTTAGTATCACCCTACATTGCCCAGCACAGTGCCTTAGACAGGTTCAGTGCTCAGCAAATGTTTGAATGGGCAAAAACTAAGCTGGAATTACTCTCCATTTATTTAACCCCCTGTCCTATATCCCCTAAACACTCCCTGAGAATAGAAATGACTGTATTAAAGCCACAAGATTTTTTATTGTTTATTTTAATAGAAAAATAATTGTATAGTGTGTATATTTGTACATGTACTACATGATGTTTTGAAAAAGCCACAGGATTTTGACCATAATTAGAAGTTGGCTATTTTTTGCAAATCCCAACTCCCTTTCTTTCTCTGTTGTGCCACTCAGGCACACGTGCTTATAGAGGGTGGTTCCCAGCAATAGACTGGCGTCCCCACTAGATGGCAGAGGAGAGCTGCTTAGCCTACAGACCACTGTCCTGAGCAGAGCTGCAGACGCTTCCCTGTTCCCTTATTTCACTCTGTTGAGGTTATTCATGGGCCCTGTGACTCTGAGCACTCTGACCAGGTACCCTGACTCTGCAGAATGTGTCAGGCTGAAAGAACTCAGAAACAGATTTTTCACTGGGCAAATCCTAGAATCCAGCACGGCAGAACTAGAAAGACCCTTGGAAAGCGTGTCACTAGCTTCTCCCTTTCCACAAAGAAGATGGCTGGATCCTGGAAGCAGGGAAGAAGTGGGTTCAGGACCCCTCCCCAGCCCCCCCGATGGAAAGCCTCAGAGCTAGGACTGAGGCCTAGAATGCTCCTTCTTTCCCTCACTGCCACTTTGCTGGGCATTTCAGATTTCCCCTCTAGTAGTGCTTTAAGGAAACCCAGATCTAGAAGGTAATGTATAAGACCTTCAGCATGGAACACAGATACTCTTAGTCCTTTGTCCCTTTACTCCTGTGATGCCTACCTTGTCCTTTTCTACAAATTCCTTTCCGAAAAAACATTTGTCAGGTTCCTACTCTGTGACGCCTTATTTAACCCTGCCTTCTGTCACTGCCTGTGCTCAGACGGCTAATCTATGTTCTCAAGGGTATCTGGTTCGTACTTGTATAGTTCTTAGCTCAGGAAGATTTAATGATATGTTTAATCTGCCTGCTTCCCCTTTTATAATGTGAGCCTCTGAATTGGGGAGGGGGACAGGGCCAAGTTTTATTCATCTCTGGGTCCCCAGCCTTTGACAGGATGTTTGGCCTTGAGGGATGAAAAGATGAAGTCACATTGCGGTCATCTGTGAGGCAGCCAGAGACCGGATGACTTGCTCATTTCCCCAAGTCTTTTTAGGAGAGATCATGTCATGCAGTTAAGTGGAGGCTGCAAGTGGCCAAAGTTTCTCTGTATTTTAAATTCTAAGGGCTGATGGAGCTGATGCCTCCTCTAAGCGTGTGTCAGCCCATTTCCAGTGGGACAATGTGGAGAAGCACTGGCTAAGTAGAAATGTTGACAACAAAATGAAGATCAGCCTGATGTGGTAGGTTGTATTCTTCTAAACCCCTGCAGAATCTGAAAGCAGCAATATCAGTCTGCCTGTTCCTCAGAAACTTCTAGCAGTTCACGAGTTCAAGTCCCTGGCTTTACTTTGAGTCCAAGAGTTTGCCTTCCAGGGACTTGGGGTGATTCATCCCCTACCTCCCCCCTCCTTCCAGAAACCATTTTTATTCCTTCTCAGCTTTCCCCTCCTCCTTTCCCTCTGTGCTGGGACCATGGGCTCTGGGTGCCCTGTGTTGATGGCACCTTTGGGTAAACATAGCTGTGTCTTGCTTTCCATCTAAGTCACCAAGATGTGCATGCAGTTTCTTATCAGCCAGTACATCTTACCCACTCCTGCTCTGATGTCACTGCCTCAGAGTGTCAGACCAGCTCATTTTTCCTCTCCTAAGGAGGCGCCATCATACATTGCAGTATCATAGTTTTGTTTTACCTAATCCCAAAATGATTGATGCAACCAGGGCTACTTCGCTGTTCTTTCTATGGTCTAATCCTATGGATAAAGCCATGCCTCACTGGGTGGTATAACCCTCCCAAACACAAGATGATTAATGCTTGCTTTTTTTCTCTCCTTACCAGCTCACTTTCTAGAGCTTGACTTCCCACCCCCAACCACTTTTGAAGCCAAGAAAGCAGCTGATTTTATTCTTTATTTTTTCCCCTGTAGGCCTTCACCAGAGTACAAGACCTCCGATATTTAGAGCTCATCACCAGCATTGAGGTAAAAAATGAAGCATTTTTCCCTTCTCAAGAAAGCACCGACTTGGTATCAGTCATTGACAGGGAGCCCTTCTAGCAGGCAAGAGCCCTGAGGACATGTGAACAAGCCCACTGGTATCTGGGCATCTGGGCCACAGCCTTGCTCGGAGGGGCAGAGTGGCCATGTAGGGGAAGAAGTGCCCCAGAGCAGGGAGTGCAGTCTGTTGCTTGGTAGCTGCCTGAGGCAGATGGGTTCGTAATCTCTCTGAGCTTTGGTTTCTTGTCTGTGAAGTGGGATCAGACCTACCTTGTAGGATTGCTGTGAGGATTAAATAGGTTCTCAGTGACTGGTGCATCTTTGTGGTGGTGGTTAGCTGCTTACCATGCTCCCAGACTCCAGTAATCTGGCAGTGTAGGAGGTGTTTCCCAAGTGCACATGACCTATGTGCCACCCCCAGAAATGGGCCTGGGGAGGGAGTTCTGCAGACTGCACAGAGTGCCCAGAGCTCTGGAGCACCCCCAGTCCTCCTGTTCCCGGCTGAGAACACTGGCCTTGTCAGCCACATCCAGATAGGCCTGGGCGGGCTGGAGGAGCTGGTTCTAGGTGCACCATGTGCTGGGTGCTGGTAGACACTGTTCTTAATTTCTGTGTATCTCAGTGCTGTCTCACTCGTCTGTAAAAAGACATACATATTTTTTCTCCTGAACAGATTTATTGTGAGGGTATGGGAATGTGAGATACATTTGAATTTCCAGATGGAAACAGTGAGGAAATCAGCAAATGTCTTGTCCCTCTAATTCAGTTCAACATAATAAACACGTTTTGTGGGCCAACCTGTGTGCTGAGCCCAGTGGGCAGAGAGCTGAGTAGAAGACAGGTCTGCAGGAGCTCACAGCCTGCTAAGCCTAACAAGAGCTGCCACGTGTGGAGTCTGCTTTGTGCCTCGTGCACGATCCATGGTACTCTGTTCCAAAGCCTCACAAGAACTTAATGAGTCAGGCATTGTTATTATCCCTATTTGATGGAGGAGAAAACTAAGGCTCAGAGAGGCCGTGTGACATGCCCAAGGGGCCACAGCCAAAAGCTTGATTGGGATTCAGACCCCGTCTATCTGTTTCCTAAGCTCGTGCTCTCTAGGCCACGCGCCTGCTGCCCACCCACTACCTTCCCTGGCACATCGTAAGGAGCGTCTGTATCTTCTGTTACTTACCTGTGTGGTAAAGGGCTTGTTTGAAGCTGTCTGTCTATAATGCCCAGTGCTGCTTACTATCAGGGCTGGCATTTTTAAATCAACTGGATCTAGGGGTCTTAATCTGAAGCCATGGAACATAATTTTTCTGTATACAAAAAATAACTGGTGTCTGTGAGGACCAACACTTACCAAGTTCACAATGTCTTCCTCTTCTATGTAAGCCAGGAAATTGTTTAAAACAGTAAACTTGTAAGATTGTGTTTTGAAAAAAGTAAGGTGCCTTTGAGTGACCACTCTAAGACCTTAGTTGTATGCTTCTAGATGTTCAGCATTATTCCAGAGAATTGAGGTTCCTCAGTAGTTCCTTTTGGATAGGTGAGATGTTTCCGTACTGGTAACAAGAGGAAAATATTGATATATACCTACTGAACCTACATAGGTCGTTTTTATTGATCATGGTGATATTATGTGATCTAGAATGGATATGGCCTAAATTTCATGCCCTAGGAAAACCTATTTTTTTTTAATCTCACTGCAAGATTTTAATACATTTCCAGCTATTAGGAGTTATAGTTTATTTGTCTGATTGCCTGAACTATGTATAGGTTTTTAAAAAAATTATTTCTGTCAGTGGGGAAGCATGTTGCCTCCAGCTGTGAAAACTTTCACCAGCTTGTCTAGGAGTTTGATTCAATGTCTCATCTTCCACTGTGGTACCCTTGCTGGAAAACAAGCAAAAGGAAACTGCTGGGGATGAGGGATTGGTGCTAGTGAGTGTTTGCAAATACTTGAGCTGCAGACTAATGAATGTTCCCTAACACAGAAGCATGCATGGTACTTCTCTTTATCCTCCGCACTGTTAAGCCTCTGTGTGTGTGTGTGTGTGTATGCACACAGGTGTGTTGTTTGGGACCATTGCTTGCTTCAGAAGGTAGTATCACGTGATACAACGAGTGTCTGGAGTCAGACAGACTGAGTCAAAATGCCAGCTCCATCTGACCTTAACCTGTCCCTCTTCTTGAATCTCAGCTTCCTTTGCTGTAACACTTGGGTTGTAATACCAATGCTGAGGGTCACTGAAAGGAACAGAGTCCATACTTTTATACAAAGTATATACCTAGCACCTAGTAGATGTTCGGTATGTGGTATTTCTTACCTTCTCTTTAGAAATAGGAACAAACCAGGTACCTGGTGCAAGCTACTCAGGAGACTGAGGCGGGATGATCACTTGAGCCCAGGAATTTGATACCAGTCTAGGCAACATAGCAAAACCCTGTCTTTAAAAAAAAAAAAAAAAAAAAGGAAGAAAGAAATCTGAACATAGAAAGACTTGTTATCCTATTTAATTGGTTTCCATCTTGGGCAGAAACCTTAAACTTTCTTCTTGTCTGTCATCATCGTGGTCACAACTCTGCCAAAGCAAGCCTGCAGATTTGGGAGGTCTTGGGACCTTAGGGGTCACCAACGAGTTGGCAGCACACACAATCCAAACTATCCAGTTGTAGCTTGGAAGAATATACAGGAAAGCAGCCCTGAGGAATTTCCATTAAACAAAGGTTTGCATCTTTTTTTGATCTTCACTTGTCTGGAAAAAAAAAATCTGCTTTTGTTGTCAAGCATTCCCACCAGAAACCTAGGTGAGAGACATAACAGCTCAGGAGCCAAACGTAGGTTCCAATAGGAAGGCCCATGGGCTTAACTTGAAATAGCAACATCGAACCTTTGTAAAGGCTGCTTCCTGCCCATGGCTGCAGAGGCCATTTCCTGTGCTTCTAATTTTTCCAGGAGAGGAAGAAGCGGGGAGAAACCAACAATGACCTGTTTCTGGCAGATGTGTTTTCCTACCAGGGGAAGTTCCATGAGGCCGCCAAACTGTACAAGAGGAGTGGGCACGAGAACCTCGCGCTCGACATGTACACTGACCTCTGCATGTTTGAGTATGCCAAGGTAAACTACCCACATCCCAGGCCCAAGCTGCCATTTGGAGTCCACTGACCTGCAGTGTCCAAGTTGTTTGCCCCAAGAGGTAGTGCAGATGAAAAATAGCAACGGCTTTGGAAAGGGTGTGAGCAAATTGGTAAACAGAGGAACCATCTACTGCCACTGGTTGAATCTGACCCAAAAATGACCTTTAAGGCTGATACCAAAGGGACACAATATGACACTTCATACCTTTGTCAGCAACAGAGCTACGTGGGCTGTGAGTCTTTACCAGTGTATCCCTTCATTAAGTGTTCAGGGCTCAGGGCTTCAGGGCTGTCTCCCACAAATTCTCTCAAACCTTGTCAGGAGCCACAAAGAATCGGTATCCTCAGGCACAAGCTGTTCCTACCAATCACGCGATGGGTTCACTCCAGCCAAGTGTTGGCGCAGTGTGCCTCACACCACTCCTGCAGATGCAGGGTAGCTCCCACATGGTCTCGGTGGGTGATGGTATAGATTCTGTCTTGCATTTGGAGGGTCCCCATTAGGTTAGTCCCCCAAATATCTGGCCCTTTAAAGGTACATGTGGAAGAAGAGCTTCCTGGACCAGGTTCCTGATGGCTTGTAGAGAATGAGTTACACTGAGTGGCCCATACCAGTCAAGACATTTGCAATTAAGCCTAATGCAAGGTTAAAAGAGCCTTGGGTGCATCGAGCAAGAACAAGGAGGTTCTTCCTTCCACAGAGGTGCCTTTGTTAACCTGCCTTTCCCGGTAGTGTCAGAAGAGGCTCTCAGAATGTTATTAAGTGAGTCATCAGCCACAACCAATTAGTGGCTATTAATGGTAATTATGTAGCTCTCAAGTTCAAGATGGAAAATCTTCCCCATTTTTTTCCGCTCTTTTCCCAAAGATGGCCATGATCTTCCACCATCTGTTAGATCTCAGGGCTGCAGGTTGTGTGTGGCTCCCTGTGATGGGGCCCAGGAATTATTGTTCATCAGTACCTGCACAAGCCCCTGGGCCCCAGCCTGTCTTTCTATCTTGGTACTCCTTCATGCCATACCTCAGATCTAGGGTACCTCAGCTTCTACATTTTCTTCTTTGTCTTTCTTACCCTCCACCATACTCCCACCACAAACACATACAAGATTTCATAATACATTCATAGTGAGAACACCTAAATCAGTACATCTCTCCTTCTGGGGATAAAATTTTAACTGGGGACAAAACCTTTAACTGAAGGGTCAAATCCCTAGGTAGAATTTAGGCATCAGGAACAGCTGGATCTGGTTGTTCTTTGCGACCAATGGCACCTCCCAGAACCCCTGAAGCCTTCCCAAGTAGGCACCAGAAAATGCCTTGCCTTGGCACGCAGAGAGCTGGTATGAATCTCGGTCCCTCCTGTGGGATGGATAACCTGGGGAAAGGCTTTTCACTTTGCTAAGCCTCCATTTCCTCCTCAGAGGGTGACATAGCTATGGTTCGGTTTAGTTCTGAGAATTGCACAGAGTAATTTATGGGAAAACTCTTTACAAATGCCAAGCTATAGAAAGATTAGGAAAATGAGAGGGGCCAAGCATGACCATGGAGTGGATGTTCTTCAGACTTCTCCCCACCTGACCCCACTCCTGCCTCTGCTCTGAGGCCCCTCCTAACACTTTGAGTGGGCTTCATGCACCCACAGTCTCCCACCCAGAAATGCAGCCCATTTACACACTCCATCTGGTCTGTCTCTCTATGAAGGTAAATACTCTGGGACTTGTTTTTGGTTTTAGTTTTTGATCACAATTCCAAGTAGGTTGGTTCCGTTTCAATCCCCCCTCCCATCCCCCGCCCAGTAGTCTGAATTTGAGAAAATGTGTACATACACATTATGTTGGGGGGTGGGGGAGATCCAGTGCTTATTAACATGGCATGTTTTTGTTTACTTGAAAATTGCTTCCCAAGAGTCAATCTGGTTTTCAGAAAAATTTTAAATTACATTCCCACGTACAAATAAATTGTATGCTTTCCGGGTAAGTGACATGTTTATATGGTGATAAAGGGAATTATAATGCTCTTAACTCTTATATAGTATGTCCTTATCAAAATCACCAAGCATGAGAACACTGTTTAGTCTCATTCATCACTCAGCACAGCCTCTTTCTGTCCACTTCAGGACAAAGTCTTTGCCATAGCCCCCAGATAACGTGTAAATTAGCTTCATGGAACCAAAAAGCCTTTGAAAACCCGGTTTGTTGAGCCTTGAAGGAACCATTTAGACTCAGCTTCAATTAAGTCAGAGCTCCCTGAGCTGGACTGCTGGGCCGAAGGAGGCTCCTTCAAGCCTGTGACCCATGTGCCTGGATGGTCTCACTGGGGCAAGGACCCAAATTTATGGCTCCTTCTTAGCCTCTGATCCTTCTTACTATAGTCGTCCCCAGTCCACTGAGCACTCACTGAAGTCCTTTTGAAGGCTATTTCTGTTCTCTTATGATGCTTGTTTCTCCCAGCTGCTAACCTCGTTCAGTCAACCAGGTAGGCAGTTTCCAGCTTTGTGTTGGCATCAACAGTGTCTGTAGTAGCTGCCGAGGGTAGAGGGTATGTCTGTAAAGGCCCAAACTAGACATAGTCAGTGGCTGCATTCTAAGCCCCTTCCCCTTTGCGAACTCCAGAGGGAACCAAAGGCTGGCTGAGGCACGCTGTGTTTTACTGGGACCCTAGCTTCAGGGAAAACAATGTCCCTTCTTCCCTTTCTTAAAACATTTGGCTGTCTTAGCCCGACCTAATATATGATTTTAGGAGCTACACAATTACCCTGAAAGCAAATGGAAAAAAAGTGAGCTAATTGTTCAAGTGGGTTTTTAGCATATGTTGACTGTAGTTTCCTGACAAATGAGTGTTAATCATGGGGAAAGGAGTGCTTTTTTTTATACTTTATGAGGTTGACACAGAGCACTCTCTGCAGGGTACATTATTCCTAAGACAAACTGCTTCTTACTCGTAATGCAAATCTGGGCTGTAAGCGCTCTCAATTTCCCTTTCTGAAATCCCCACTTTTTAAAATGTCAGCACCAGTGCTGCCTCAACTATGGCAAACTCCCACATATAGATTCTGGACAACTTTATCCTGAAAAGAGGTGATTCTCTGAGATTGTTTCCCGCACATTCTATGGCCAACCCAGGGAAGCTTGGCCTTTCAGAGGCCCCCTGTGGTGGAGTCTCTGGGACCACAGGCCTCTCTTCCTTCACGGATTCTCTCTTGGACCCATTCCCCTGCCTCAGATCCCGCATGGCCTCCTGCTGTACACTGTTGGATCAGGTCCACTCTGCAGACCTGACCTCAAAACAGGATCCCATACCATTCAGTTGAGAATTAATTAACCAAAGAGAGTTTTGCTTGTTATCTGTCTTAGGCAAATACCTGGGACAAAGCTAGTGGAATGATTCTCTAAATTCAGGCAACAAAACATTTCAGAAAACAGATGCTAATCTTCCAGTGTGGTGGTGGTTGAGGAAGGGCACAGAAGGCCTAACTGAGAAATCTTTAAATCATTTCGTTTGTGTGAGTTTAGGAGACCACATGCTCAGCCCCACTCTGAGGCACATGGTATCATCCATACTATCCGAATAAAGACTGTAGGTATGGATATTTGAAATTGTGCAACCAGTTGTCTAGTCACTATTTAGGAATAGTCGCATATATATCAAGCTTTATCAGTGAGACACACACACAAAGTAACCCAGTCATAAACCCTCTACACTGCAGAGTTCCAAAGTGTCTGGAAAGTGTTTAGCTGAAGGGAAGGGAAGGAAACATTGAGAGCCATAGTCCTTGACACTGTCCCAATATTCCCCAAGAACACCTGTGGGACAGTCCATAATCACTTCTCCTGGACACCTGGGACTGCCCCCCACTCAGCCACACAGGGATGGTCTCCTGCCTGCATCCTGATTGCTTGCTTCAACCAAGTGGAGCCCTTCCTTGCTCCGGCTCTCAGCAGCCTGACGTAATGCTGGCACAGGAAGTTCTAATCCGGAGTGTTTTTGTTTGTTGTGCTTCCTCAGGATTTCCTTGGATCTGGAGACCCCAAAGAAACAAAGATGCTAATCACCAAACAGGCTGACTGGGCCAGAAATATCAATGAGCCCAAAGCTGCTGTGGAGATGTACATCTCAGCAGGAGAGCATATCAAGGCCATCGAGATCAGTGGCGACCATGGCTGGGTTGACATGTAGGTTTCAGTCCCTGCCCCAAGGAACATTTGGCAGCATGTCATGTCATATCAACTCTTGATTTTGACTGACAAGGGAAAAAATAGTGTTTCTCTAAATATCTAACCAAATGCGATGGTGACTGGGTTCTTTGGGAGCACAGAGATTGAAGAAGGCAATCGCTGCCTTTGAGGAGCTTGTCAAGTCCCTGGGGGAAAGAGTGATGGGTACTGAGGAGGGGCAGACACCCCTAGTCAGAGCTGCCATTTGCTGAGTGCTCACAACAACCCCAGTGCTGCAGTAACCTTGCAGGCATTTGGTTCTTTCCCCACACCCTCAGGGTTCGTGTTTCCAGGCCCTTCTTGCAAATGAGGAAACTGAGGGTCAAGGGACAAGTGATCACAGAAGTCCAAACAGCCGGGAAGTTTTGGAGCTGAGCTTTAGGCTCTGATCTGGGTGATTTCAGTGCCCATAAGAGTATAATGTTAGGTACCAAAAAGAACAAGAAAAGTTCCAAGTACGTGAGGAAAGAAGAATTCCCATGGGAGGAACCACGATGTCTTCTCTTAGGAGGTAGTCTTTACATGAAGGGGACCTGAAGCATTTCAAGAGGCAGAGGTGATCGATAGAAAGGGAAAGGATGTTCAGGCAGAAGGAACAGCACAAACAGAGCCAGCTGGCTGTGATTGGAATAAAAGGTGTGTGGGAAGGGGAGGGTGGGGGGGCTGCAGGGAAGGGGAACTGGGCCGGCCACACTGGGAGGGCCTCAGATCTAAAGTGAAGTGTTTAGATTTGTGGTTTTGTGCATGTGTGTGAGCATGAAATGCACTGTCTCTGACCAAGGGAGGACAAAGCGCTCCTGGGGAGGTCTGCTACACTGAGTCCCAAGCCCAAACCCTCCATAGGGAGAGAGAGGACCTGTGGCCAGGGCTGTGCAGTCTGACCCCCTCAGGCAGTAAGGGGTAGAATGGAGGAAAACTAGAGGAAGGGAGACCAGATAACTGGCGAGTGCATTAGACCAGGAGGGAGCAAGAGGTAGAGGAGCTAGAACTGAGGGATCCCTCTGGGCATGGGGCAGGCGGGGCAGTGGAAGGCTGATTCTGAGCTCTGCACCTGCTGGTCGGTAATGTCATTCGCCAAAGTCCAGAACGGAGGGAGGGGAATGGGCTGGGGCTGGGGCTGCGTGGAGGCACGAGGGATTCGGTCTTGGGACTCAGTGAAGCAGACCTCCCCAGGAGAGCTTTGTCCTCCCACAGTCAGAAACAGTGCACTTCATGCTCACACACATGCATGTGTGTGTGTGCGCGTGTGCGCTGCAACAGCTAGCAAAGGAAGAGAGGACGGGACGGGCTCCTGAAGTAGGCTCGGTCTGCGCCCTAAATGCTGTGGGTTGTTCTGGAAGCAACATTGTGGTCCACAGGGAGCAGTGGCCCAGCCAGGACCTAGGGAGGGGGAGGGGCTGGTTAATGATCAGGTTGCCCCCTTGAGCCCCACCATGTGATTTGTGTGTGGGTCCCTCACAAAGGGACCTTGGTGGGTGACCTATCACCCCATCTTTCTCTTGTCCAAGAATAAAGTTTCTTAAAGATAGAGGCATAGATTTTGCCCCCAGAATTATTCTTTTCACAAAAGAGAGCCAGGCAGATTTAGGGCTTCCCCATTCTCTCCTCCAGTTTTTCATATGTCACTTTCATTTGCAAGTGCTATGTATCAGGTTACCCTAGGGATACTTAACTAATTCAAGGAAAAGACATTAGCATGATCCATCCGTTTTCCAGGTCTGGCTGTTAAAGGTGCCTCTCCTCCAGGAACATTTGGTTTGATGGGTGGGGGGTTTCTAAGGTTCCCAGGGGCTGCCTGTGCCACCTTTCCCTAAAAATGTCCTTCTCTGCTGAGCAGTATTATTTTTAGTTGCTATTATTATTCAAAGTGCAGACTGACAGGGCTCCCTGTACTGCTCTGTCTCTGAGGCAGGGATCTGCTACAGCTGCTTCCCTTTCCTTTCTCACAAAGAGCAGGCTGGGTAGAATCCCTTCTCCTTGGAGAGCTGGTTTTACTCCAAACCCCAGCCTGACCAGAGGGAACAAGCACATTCCATCCGCCCCTCATGTCTCCATGAGCAGTGGGAGGCTGGTCACCACTGAGAAGTGGTGAGCCAGCTGGTCCCTGCGGCTCCTCACTGCAGTCAGCACCTTGGCCAGGAGGAGGACACAGTCAAGACTTCCTGCAGGCCTTTCTTCCAGAGCTCAGAGCAGGCCCCGCGCATGCCTCTTCCTCTAGAGGGCCAGTCATTGAAGAATTCTCACACCTTGGCCTCTGATTTCCTGTGAGAATTACTGAAACGGTGGTGGAAAGAGCACTCTGCCACTTCCTGGCTGTGGAGTCTTGGGATGGGTGTTTCACCTTCCCCCCTAGACTTCAGTCTTCTCATCTGTAAATGGAAATAATAGTACCCACCTCTTGGAGTAGTGAAGATTCAGTGAGAACACACATGAGAAAGCTCATGGCGCCATCTTGGTACCTGGCCAGGATAAGTAAACATTTGTTTCTGTCCCCAGATCCTGCTGTGGATAGATTAGTAACTCCTGTGAAAGATATAAGGTGGCCACAGTATCTTTTAGAGCCTTCCTCTCCTGGTCCCTGGCAATGTTTCTGGAGTATGTATTCACTTATTTAATAACCACCCATTGAGCATCTTCCAGGGGCCATGGCACTTTATTAGCATTGGGGACAGCCCAGTGAATGGACATAGAGCCTGCCCTTGGAAGCTCCAAAGTCCGCCACCACTTCCTTCCATCAGGCCCCTTCACAGTGGTCTCTTTTCTCCCTGCCCTTCCTGCCCCTCCAGGTTGATCGACATCGCCCGTAGGCTGGACAAGGCTGAGCGTGAGCCCCTGCTTCTGTGTGCTGAATACTTCAAGAAGCTGGATAACTCTTGCTATGCTGCCGAGACCTACCTGAAGATCGGAGACCTGAGGTCCTTGGTGCAGCTGCACGTGGAGACTCAGCACTGGGATGAGGTGAGGGGAAAACACGCCTCATGGGTTAGGGGCCCCACCTGAGCCCTGGGAAACAGGCAGGTAAGTAGAGGGGACTTTTGGGGTTTGAATGGGGAGAAGCTGCCCTCATCATGGAATGAACATTGGAAGTCAGGAGACTTAATTTCCAATTCTCTGAACCAGGATATCTTGGAGGGCCTTTCCATGCTAGCTTTCCATTTGTTTATTCATTCATTCATTCAGAAAATCTTTATTGACTGCCAGCTCTGTGCCAGTCCCATAATAGATACCAGGGATGTGAGTGTTAATATGACAGCTTCAGTGCCTGCTGTTGGTCTGAGCTGCCTCTGACCAGCACCGCGGGCTCAGACACATTGCTGATGTGAATATGCACCTGTGTGACATTTAAAACCTGCTGGGTAGCATTTTGGCAGAAAATGCCATCCATACTTCTCAGATGCAGACTGTGAAAGCCATTTCAGAGCCAGCTCTTCCCCTCCATTTTTGGCCCCACCCCAACCTGGGCTTCTCTAGTGTGGGGGCAGGTGAGAAGAATCAGCCAGGCCTGTGGGAGAGGCAGCAAGCCTGAGGCCCCTCTTGAGCTCAGTTCCCACCCTCCAGCTCCCTAGCTTCTGGGGGAGAAATCCATTCCCTGGAGGATTAGATTAGCGACTTTGCACACAATCCTCGCCCTGCCCCACCCACCCATCGTGGTCTATTTTGCAGAGCCATAGCGAGGCCTTTTCTGGGTAAGAGCTGTCTGACTCTTGTCTTTTCCTCTGGATAGCTCCATTTGGTGAGGTGACAAGGTCACCGATGAGAAAAGGTGGGGCCAGGGACAGAGGCAATAATGGCTTCTCAAGATAAATTTTTCAGGAGATTTCTCAAGCAGCACAAATTAGAGCATCTTAGAACCACTCGGTCCTGGCTGTGCATCAGGCAGACTTTCTTCCCGTGGCTTGTTTCTGGTTCTCCTGGCCTGACAGGTGGTTCTGGGGCTTAGGTGAAACAGTCACTGGGTCCCATATAGCACCAAGCCCACAGTCATCTTTAACAGCTAATAAGCAGTGATGATGATAATGTCAATTCTATTTCTTTAAGGTGTCGCCTGCAATTAAAAGAAATCTGTTTGCAGCGCTACAGGAGCCCACGCAAACCCTCAAAATAAAATGTTTCCGATTCTGTGCTCTTCTATGGTGCAGAAACAGACTGTGTTGTTATTGAATCCAGTCGCTTGCATATTGCTGTTAATTGCCTTTTGTTTTCAAAGAGCTGATTTGTTTTTGCGTTTCTAGGGGTAGTTGAGGGGGGAGGTGCTCTTCCCCTCTGAGTTGTCAGGTTGGCAAAATATGACATCCTTAATGGATTCAGCCAAGTGCCATGTTTTCATGGGGGCTGAGGGGCTGCTTTATTGAGACTATTTGCTCCTTCCTCCAGGCCTTCGCTTTGGGTGAGAAGCATCCCGAGTTTAAGGTTGACATCTACGTGCCCTATGCTCAGTGGCTAGCAGAGAATGATCGCTTTGAGGAAGCCCAGAAAGGTAGGCCACACAGACTGGCATCTTGCAGAAGGGGCAGGGCAAGGCACTGCCAAGACACACATTTTAGGAAGGTTGCCAGTCCCCCTCCCATCTGTAGGTCCCAAGATAGGTGACTTCATCCTGGGGATGTGATGTATTAGGTGGACCTGTGGATCAGTAGAAAGAACATGGGCTTTGGATTCACACACACCTGGGCCATCACTCACTTGCTACAGGACCTTAGGAGGTGCTTTCTGCTCTCCGAGCCTCTGTGATTACTGAGCAAAGTGCTGTGCACTCCAGTTAATCTTCTGATTTAATCCTCACAACAGTCCTATGGTGTAGGTACCATTATTGTTATTCCCATTTTGCAGATGAGAAAACTGAGGGTTAAACAGGTAAAGAGATTTCCTGAAGTCCCATAGCTAGGAAGGGGCAGAGAGGTAATTGGAGCCAGGGTACAGTGAGGAAAAAGTAGAGACTGCCAAAGAGTGTGGCACAGCCTTGCCTCCACTTGCCTCTGCTGAGAATAGAGACTCAGTTTCTGTTTCTGGCTCAGATAAATGAGGTGACCTCTACTACTTAGTATTTCCATTGGCAAAATGGCTGCACATGAGGTCTGACAAGCATCTGAAATAGTAGCCAGAGCAAGTATGGAGCTTTGACTGATCATGTTAATCACAGTTTAAAAAATTGACTGCCTTCTGTCAGACACTGGCTGGGCACTTAACCTACATAACCTTGAATCTTGCCAATAGCCCTGCAGAGACAAAGGGGCTAAATGTGCCGTGCAAAGTCACAGATTAGCAAGCAGCAGGGCCAGAGCTGGATCAGGATCTGTCTGACTGGGGAACCTGAGTCTTCTATGTTTTACTGCCTATTTAGGAAGTCTTCTAATTGAAGTTGGGTGTGTCATTCTCCATAGCATCTCATTTACACATCTATATGGTAACAGTTGCTACCACCGGACACATCGCAGAACAAATGTCTCCCTGTTGGAGCCCCTCAGCTAAAAGCCCCCATTGAAGGACAGTGTGTTCTCTACTGCTTCAACATTTCCAGAGCACCCAGTTGCTGAAGTATCTGCATGTTTGGGCAAAACACATCAACCTATCCATCTGTCTGTGTCTGCCCTTCCAAGAATCCATCGCCATAGTAACTTGGTACTCAGACAAGAGATTGGAGATGAGAATGGAACAAAGGCCAGACCTTTTCCTTTGCTAAAGGCAGAGGATTTGGATCATCTGAATGCCCACGTGTGGGCAAATGTCACAGCTACCAGTGCTTCGCTGGCATCCTGAGGGGCTGGCCCCGTAGTAGGTACTCAGAAAATTTCGGTTAAATGGATGTAGGAACGATTGAGAAATTTTTTTTGCTTGTTTTCATAAATGTTTGGTTTTGAGAAGCAAGCCAGATCTTTTAAGGTTGTCATCAAAAAGCACCCACTTGAGTTCGACTTGGTTCTGTGACCTTGGTGTGGCACTTTACCTCCACCTTGCAAAGCCCATTTCGTTGCTCATTTAAAAAGGGAATAATTTTCCCTTCTTCATAAGTCTGTTGTGAGGATCCAGTGAGGTAATTAGCAACAAAAGCACTTTGTAAACCTCAAAGCCTTATAAAGGGTCAAGTCCTGTTAGTGTCACCTCAAGAGTCACAAAGCTTTGCCCTGGAATGGAGCAGGGGGCAAAACCTCACTGAAGATGAGCAAGTTTCATCCTTAGACTTTGCCCTGGAATTTGGCCACTCAGATTTTTCTTTCTGCCATGCCTTCCCAAAGTTGGTTGTCTTTTCCCAGCCAAAAACGGGTGTATCTCACTGTACTTTTCTCAGGACGTAGCCTTGGTTATTTATAGCCTTCGGCCTGAGAGGCGGCATCCCAGCAACGAAGTGCTGCAGATGAATGTCCTACTTCCAAAGCAGTCTCTTATAAGCCCCGCAAAATTCTGTCCTGTCTCCTGTCTCCCTCCCTGAATTGCATGTGCTTTTGTACCCCCCACCCCCCAGCATTCCACAAGGCCGGGCGGCAGGGAGAAGCAGTCAGGGTGCTGGAGCAGCTCACACACAATGCTGTGGTGGAGAACAGGTTTAATGACGCCGCCTATTATTACTGGATGCTGTCCATGCAGTGCCTTGATATAGCTCAAGGTAAGTAAACATCAGCCAGGCCACTGTTTTCCCCAGCTCCGCTCTGGCACCAAGATAAACATCAAAAGAGCTGGGACATTTTAATTAAAGCCCTCAGCTTGTTTATTGGGTGTATTGTCCATAAGCCTGTCTTGCAATGGCATAATCTGGTGTGTCATCTTTTTCCAGTTTTCCCATAAGTATAAGAATGGTATGAGGGCCATCCTGGGGTTACGGTTGGGAGGTCCAGCCTGCATTGCTAATTCAGAATGTATCTCTCCCTGCTACCTGGGAGCCCATAGCTGGGCCTGGATGAGCACTGGTTTAAAAAAAATTTAATTAAATGAAAAGATGAGCAAGAGATGGCTTTACAATAACACACTCCAGATTCTCACTCATCCCAGGCAGAAAAACAGTTTCAATGTTGCTTTTTTTTCTTTTTGAGACAGAGTCTTACTCTGTCACCTGGGCTAGAGTGCTGTGGGGTCAGCCTAGCTCACAGCAACCTCAAACTCCTGGGCTCAAGCGATCCTCTTGCCTCAGCCTCCCAAGTAGCTGGGATTACAGGCATGTGCCACCACACCTGGCTAATCTTTCTATTTTTAAGTAGAGACAGGGGTCTTGCTCTTGCCCAGGCTGGTATTGAACTCCTGAGCTCAAGCAATCCTCCTGCCTTGGCCTCCCAGAGTTGCTAGGATTACAGATGTGAGCCACCATGCCTGGCCCAATGTTGCTTTATCTCACAAGACTTCACATGATGCACTGATGGAGTTCTGGAAGCAGAAGGGACAAGGGAGTTATTCTCCACTGGACCAGGCCCATGTAGGAGTGGGGAAAACACTGGAATGGAGGCCACAAGGTGACTTGTAGCAAGTCACAGTCCTTGCTGGGCTCCGTGTGCCCATCTATACCATGGGGGTGCCTCTGTCCTGCTTCCTTCATAACATTGCTGAGAGCATGCCTCATGGAGCTGTGCTTCTAGTTTGAAAACTGTCAAGCCCAGGTGTAAGGTGGCATTTTTCTGTTCTGGCCAGTGGTTTGTTTCTCTGATAAGGAGCAGTACAGAGGGAAGAGGCACAAGGTGAGTGTGAATAAAGTGGGTGTCTGCTCACCCACGTCCTGCCAGGCTCTTCTGGCATGTCTGGGAGTCTTCTCGCAGTTGGTGCTTCCCCAGAAGAATGACCTGGGAGGGTCTAGTGTGAGATCTGGAAGAGCCTGAAAGAAATGTTCTCAGACTCTTCCTGGCCATGTGCTCTGACCAGCTGAGACTTCACCATCCTGGGATGGCCCCTGCTCCTAATCAATACCTTCCCCATCACTGCACCTTTTTGCCCCTCTCCCTGGCATAGGCCCTGTGTTGCAGAAGAACCGGTGCTGGCAACAGTGCCGTCACCTGACCCTTCCTCCTGTGGCCTGTCGGCAGCCACAGATACCGTTTGACATGTCTTCACCCCTCTCGCCCCACTGCCCCCTGCACACAGCAGATCCTGCACAGAAGGACGCGATGCTCGGCAAGTTCCACCACTTCCAGCACTTGGCTGAGCTGTACCACGGCTACCACGCCGTTCAGCGGTACACGGTAAGGTAGCGGGTAACCCACCGGGCAATGAACTGCTGAGGAACCCTAGTCTCCTCTGGGGAGAAGTTTGGTTTTCATTGATCAGCTACTTGTCTGACATGCAGCTAGCTGTGGGCTTCTGAATTACAGTCCAGAGCTGGAGTGGGTATTTCTAGTTGCTTGGTTCAGGTGTTGATAACTTGGGCAAACTTTGGATTAACCAGACAAGGGGGGTGGGAATTCCATGGGGTCTTCTCCTCTAGGGGGACTAAGGCCCAGTTATGCTGTGTGTTCCTGAGCAGTTTGATTTCTCTCTCTGGCCTTTAATTTCTTTCTCTATAAAACAGGAGGGTTGTCTTGATCTCCAGAGACCCAAATAGTTCTCCTTTTTAGTCACTCCCTGATTCCTTTGATGAAGCCTTTTAAAATCTTTCTGGTGGCAGTGGGGAACAGTTGACAGGTTGTCAACAGCCTCTTCATCCTGTTTGTCTCTTCAATCACTCAACAGCTGTTGATTAAGCTCCTACAGAGTGAGCTTATTTTGTGCTAGCTGATAAGCTGGGCAGGTGTCAATAGCCAACCTGTATTGATCACTGACTACATATTAGGCAATGTGCTAGGGCTTTATTGTATCAACTCATTTCATCCTTTCAACCATACTGTGAATGTGGTCATCGCATTTTACAGATGAGGAGACTGAGGTGCTTGACAGAGAGGTCTCACAGCCAGTAAGTAGCAGAGCCAATACTAGAATCCCAACAGGCTGGCTCGAGAGCCTGTGCTCTTAGCTGTTCCCTCCTTCCCCCTTCTCACTTAGAGAAAGTGGGCTGGTATGTTGTTTAAAAGGCAAACTCAGGAGACCTCACATCCCAGCTGTACTGTGTGACCTTGGGCAAGTCATTTACCTTCTCTGTGCTTCTGTTTCCTTCTCTATAAAATAGAGGTAATAACAGTACCTATTTGATGGGATTGTGGTGAGGATTAAATAAGTTAATATTGGAAAAGCACTTGGAAGAGTGCCTGGCACAGAGTGGCCCTGGGTAAGTGTCAGCTATTCTCATTACTTCCCCAGGTAGAGGCTTCACACCACCTTTCCGCAGCTGCACCCGAAGGCTGAGCATCTCGCTGTTCTTTGACCTCAAAGTCCCTTCCTTCCACCCTGGGCATTTCCTTCCCTCTAATCTGTGCTGACCTCTTGGCACATTTTTTGTCTTTTGGGAAAGTCTTGCGAGAAAGACTCCTCTGACGGGCTCTGCCAGGCCAGTGGGCAGCCCTGTGTTGCTTCTCTTCCCACAGCATGGTCAGTGGTCTCAAGGGACCTCATCTTCCCTTTTGGTATTTGCTTTACCTGAGAGGAGACCCTCTCAGAGTCCCTCGTCTCTAAATAGGTGCTCACTTGGAGAGAAGCCACCACAAAAGGAGTCGAGACTCAATTTAGGCTTGGAAGTCAGGGCCCAGCTCAGCCTGTTTGCCTAAGCCACCCTGGAACCCAGTGCTCAGTGCCATCCCTCTGAGCTCTCTCCCTGCTCCTCATCCTCGTGCTCCCCACACAGGGAGGCGCAGGGCTGGGGCTCCTCTCTCAGACAGCTACGCTCTGCTCCTGGACCTATGTGGGGCTGGGAGCCGAGGGGCTTTACACCAGCTGAGCCTTGTTCGTTGGCCTATTCCTTCATTCAACAAATGCCTGCTGTGTGATGAGGCCTGGGGACACAGTGGAGAACATGACATTGTCCCCACCCAGAGGAACTCACAGGCTAGCAAACAGGACAGTCCTTCAAGGGGAAAGCTTAGAGGCCTGTGAGGAGACTTCCTGGAGGAGATGGCCCCTAAGCCAAGAGGAGGGAGACCAGGAAGAATGCGCAAGTGAAGAGGAAGAAGAGGAAGGGCGTTCCTAGAAGAGGTCACAGGCTGTGCAAAGGCCTGGAGGCAAGTGGTAGCGTTGGGTTCAGCATCAGGGCCTGGCAGAGCAGACTGGAAGACTGGAGAGGAAAGTGCTGGATCCTGCCTGGGATGACGGTGTCTTTCCCAGAGGAGAGGCGCTGATCCTGAGGACGCCCCTCCTCCTGTTCCCTCTGGACATTTCTCAGCCTCCACACCTAGTGCAGTAGAACCAAAGGCAGGCTTCATCCTGGTTCTCACCCTGAAAAGGATGTGGTCTCAAGTTTTCTTGGGTGCTTGGAGCTAACAGAGGCTATAGAAATTTAGGAACTAAAGAGAAAGTGCTCATCTCTGAACCAAGGGAGTATAGAGCAAAGTGAGTCCTCAGAATTTAGACCAATTAGGGGCTAAGCCCTGGTGGCTCAGTGATGATAGGGCCTCCTAGAATGTCCATTTAGTACCATTTAAGAGCTCACAAGGGGAGGGGTGGCTGGCCTATTTTAACCCTTCTCATCTAAAGCTTTGTTACAAATCAGCAGTCTCCGTTGGCAAGCAGTGTGCCAGACTCCTTCAAAACAGGGTATTTTTTTTTTTTTTTTTTTTTTTGAGACAGAGTCTCACTCTGTTGCCCAGGCTAGAGTGCCATAGTGTCAGCCTAGCTCACAGCAACCTCAAACTCCTGGGTTTAAGTGATCCTCTTGCCTCAGCCTCCCGGGTAGCTGGGACTATAGGCACGAGCTGTGACATCCTGCTAATTTTTCTATTTTTAGTAGATGGGGTCTTGCTCTTGCTCAGGCTGGTCTCAAACTCCTGTGCTCAAGGAGTCCTCCTGCCTTGGCCTCCCAGAGTGCTAGGATTACAGGCGTGAGCCACCGTGCCCAGCCCCAAACAGGGTATTCTTAACCTTTTATGGTCCCCTCCTAATAGAAAATTCCCTATGGTCTGCTGTGCGGATCTTCAGGCAGCCTCTAGGTGCAGAAGACCAATTCCAATTCATTCCACTAATGTGTGCTGAGTGCCTCCTGTGAGGGCCGGGGCCAGGGAAACAGGGATCACCAGTTGAGGAACCCCACGTGTGTGTATGGTGGCGCATTGGTCAGGCTGCTGTTGGATAGCAAAGAACAGGCATGTGATTTCATGCTGGAAAGGGTCAAATGCCTCCATTTAAAGACAGGCTTATACCAGTGGTCATGTCCTAAATTGCATAATAGCTCTTCTCTTTTAGAGCTAATTGGAGGCACCTTGAGCTCAGGGAAATGGGATCATTACCAAGCCCAGAGGCAGTGCAGCTTGGGAGAAAGACATTCTTGTGCTTTGGAATCAGATCTGGGTTTGAATCCCAGCTCTGCTCTGTTCTAGCCAGTAACTTGGACAAATCATCTCTGGGTGTTGATCTCCTCATTAGTCCCGTGAGGATAAAAATGCATACCACCACCTGGCGTGGTGGCATGCGCCTGTAGTCCCAGCTCCTCGGGAGGCTGAAGTAAGAGGATCACTTGAGCCCAGGAGTTAGAGGTTGCTGTGAGCTATGATGATGCCACTGCACTCTAGTCTGGGTGACAGAGTGAGACTCTGTCTCAAAAAAAAAAAAAAATGCATGCCACAAGACCACATGAGACAGTGGCTATGTGGCACACAGTAGGTGCTCAGTAAACAAAGCCACTCTTTTGCTGGAGTAACTCCAAGTTATTGGTATCTACCCTTTGGCCTGGGCCAGCAAGCAGCTCAGTTGAAGAATTCAGCCCCTGTTTGCTGTTCTCTCGCTGCAGGAAGAGCCGTTCAGTTGCCATCTTCCTGAAACCCTTTTCAACATCTCCAGGTTCCTGCTGCACAGCCTGACCAAGGACACCCCCTTGGGTATCTCTAAAGTGTATCCTTTCTCTCACCCCACCCTCTGTCCTACCCCTTGTCTAATGGCCCCGAGAAGTTCTTTCCAGAGCACTTTCCTGGCAGACCGGCCTTTCTCCAGCAGCCCTCAGGGAAGAGAGCACGCTTACCCTCCCGCTGCTGTTTTGCTGCAGAAGTGGCTCAGCCAGGGAGGCTGAGGGGCCGGTGCCAAGGGAAGATTAGTTTTCAGGGCTCTCTGGGCTGAGCCCAGCAATGGGTGGCCAGCACACTGTCCCAAGCCCTTCCAGAATTCACAGATGAGGGTTTGACCAAAATGGAGGAAGCACCAGGCCTTCGGGCTTGGAATCTTGGGCCCTTCCTCAGGTTGGGGAGTGGGAAGCATTTGTTCAGCCCAGGTGTGCAGAATACCTGCTGTGCCCCACTGGGCCAGGCTCCAGGTGACAAAGCTGCCATCTTGTTGGGGAGGCCACAGGTCAGGGCCTGGTTCAGTGGATGTGTGGTGTGTTTGAGGGTGGAACGAGGCTGAGGCTGGGGCCCAGGTCAGGGAAGCTGCCTGGAGGAGGAGACGTCCATCTTGCAGGCTGAGGCAGCCAGGGAAGATGGCAGAGCAGACGTCCCCGGGGAGGCCCAGCATGCGGAAAGGCACAGAGGTGGCGGCGAAGTGAGCGTGGTGTGTGGGAGGGCTCGAGAGGCAGCAGGACACTGGCCTGGGGGTTGCTTCTGCTCTTGTGGCCAGTGGGGACTGCTAAGGGGCAAGAAGCAGAGAATGGGCTGAAGGGCCTGTATGGCCCCAACTACCAGGAAATGACCAAAATCTTGAAGGTCTTGAAAGTCACAGACGACATAGTTGTCCCTGTCCTCTTCTAAATCTACCTGTTCTCTCAGCCCCTTCCCAGCTGCACCCCACCTTCTTTCTGTGAGGAAATCCCCTCCCAGGAGAGGGCCCAGCGGTGCTGTTGGTGAGAGTTGGCCTCTCTAAAGGGTTCCAGGCCCATCATTTCCATTTCAAGGCCAACTCCCCCAAGTCAAGAGGTGCCTTCACTGACTCAGACCCCTGCGACTGGCCAGTCCATCGTGCCCCAGACAGGCGGCCACGGCCATGCGTGCGAGGCCTCAGCACCTGTACCCAGCCTTTCCAGAAAGTCCTGTTCAAGTCAGCAGAGTTTGATTAAATCCCTGTCCCGAGCGTCACACTGTGCCCCCATCCACTGGGGACCTGGAAATATCTCCTGACACAGTCCCTGAGCAGTTGTGGGGGACCTCGGTACAGGAGCCCTGGAGAGGCACTGCAGGAGGGTCAGCCAGGCAGGGGAGGGCAGCATCTGAGGTGACCTGAGATCAGAGCCTCAGGCCAAGGAGCTCAGAGGGGAGCCCCAGAGAACAGGTGAGGCTGCCGCCCAGAAAGCATCTAGCAGGCCCTTGGTCAAGTGCAGGCAGACAGATGCTGTGCGCCCAGTGGCCGCTGTGAGCCGGGCCTGAGGGTGGCTCCCCGGGCAATGTGGGACCAGGCCCCACCCAGAAGGGCTGGAGCAGAGGGCGCTTGGCACCAGGTGTCCTAGGGCCTGGCTGGCAGGCTCAGCAAGGCAGGAAGAGCCATTTTGGCCTGGCCCAAAACGAGCCATCAGCAGGCCCAGAGAACCTAAGCAAAGTTAAAATATTAATGGAAACTGTACTGTCTTTCTCTCTGGAAAAATCCCTGGGCCTTGCTAGCTGAGAAATAGATTTACATCTCACAAATTAGCAAAGCATTCCTCAGGCTCCTTCCCATGCCCTCCTGGCACCAGCACAAGGCCCACTCCAGGGAGAGGCAGTGCCAGCTGTTGGGGCTGGGCTGGCCTTTGCCGTCCTTAACGCTGTCGATGGCAGGAACACGCTCTTCACCCTGGCCAAGCAGAGCAAGGCCTTAGGTGCCTACAAGCTGGCCCGGCACGCCTATGACAAGCTGCAGGGCCTACAGATCCCTGCCAGATTCCAGAAGTCCATCGAGCTGGGCAGCCTGACCATCCGCTCCAAGCCCTTCCACGACAGCGAGGTGAGGACATGCCCCCCTCGGGCAGGAGGCTTCTCTTCCTCCTCTCCTCTTGGGATGTCTTCTGACAACTTCTTGCCTGGCCTGGGTTCTGTTTGAAAGATGGCTAGGCCGGGCGCGTTGGCTCACGCCTGTAATCCTAGCACTCTGGGAGGCCGAGGCGGGCGGATCATTTGAGCTCAGGAGTTCGAGACCAGCCTGAGCAAGAGTGAGACCCCCGTCTCTACTAAAAAAAAAAATAGAAAGAAATTGGCTGGACAACTAAAAGTGTATGGAAAAAATTAGCTGGGCATGGTGGCGCATGCCTGTAGTCCCAACTACTCGGGAGGCTGAGGCAGAAGGATCGCTTGAGCCCAGGAGTTTGAGGTTGCTGTTAGCTGGGCTGACGCCATGGCACTCTAGCCCAGGCAAAAAGAGTGAGACTCTGTCTCAAAAAAAAAAAAAAGAAGAAGGCTATAGTCTCTCAAGGGTCTGTGTCCCCCACCCCTGCCCAAGCCTTGGCTGGCCAACTCCTTTTCCTCCCTCTCCTCCCTGTTCTCCACGCAGCCTGCTGTGCTCCAGCTCACAGCCCCAGCCTGGAGCCTGGCCTCCCTTGCTTCCTAGCCCTCCCCTAAGCTCCCTCCGCACCTCCGTGCCCAGATGCCTCTGCCTGCACCTCTGGCCTGGCTGCAGGACTGACCCTCCCTCACCCAGGAGCCCCTGCCCTCCCCACCCCCTTTCCAGAACCAGGTTATGGCTCTCCAGCAAATCCTCCCCACGGTCTCTGCAGCGGGTGCTGTGCCGTAGCCTGCTGTCCTTCAACCCCGCAGCTGCTCTTTCCACAGTCCCCCCTGCTAAGCTCAGAGCAGGGACTTGGCATCAGACAGACCTATGTTCAAATCCCAGCCCCACCATTTCCTAGCCATGCTCAGTCTTTCTGAGCCTCGATTTCCCTCTTTTATCACAGTGCCTGGAGCATGGTAAGTGGCTGGTCACTGGTGGCGGTGGTTATTGTTCCTGCCAGGAAAATAGAGCCCTGCCTGTGAAGTGGGCCCCGGGTGACAGGACTTTGGATATTTCTTTAGGCCTTTCTCCTGCTTCACCACAGCACAGAGGCCCCCGGGCCCAGGCCCAGTGCCTCCTCCCTGCCCACCCAGGTGGCCTTTCCTCTTTCCAGGGGGAGGAGGGAGAGGCGGACATGTGCCCACCCCTGGTTTGGCCCCTCAGGCCGTCTGTGGTGCTGTTTTTGTAGGAGCTGGTGCCCCTGTGCTACCGCTGCTCCACCAACAACCCATTGCTGAACAACCTGGGCAACGTGTGCATCAACTGCCGCCAGCCCTTCGTCTTCTCTGCCTCTTCCTATGGTGAGTCCCCGGGCCCTGCGTGTGTGGACGAGGCAGCCGAGGTGGCTGGGCTCGCTCCACTGCTTACTGGCCACGAGACGCTGGGCAAGGCCCAAAGCCCTCTGAGTGTCCTTGTTTGTAAATTGGGGCAGTATGACACTCACCCTGCCTGACACTCTGAGTCACTGTTAGTGTCCCCAGAGATAGGACCCAGTGCTGCCCAAACCTGAAACACTCACTTCTTGGAACCTGGTGCAGGGCTTTGCGTAATGAAATGCCCCAGGCGTAGAGGCCCGTGGCTGTGCGTTCAGCTGGGAGGCTGAGACGGGCTCTCAAGGCCCAGCCCCTTCGGTGGTGACAGAGGGTCAGAAGCCCCTTGCCAGTAGCCGAGCAGAGGCCACAGACGCAGAGATTGGGGAGCCTGCCTGGGTTGGGGAAGGAACTCTGTGGTCACCCCACCTCTCTGGCCACCAGTCCCCTCAGCACCCTCTCTGTGCCCTGTGCCCTCCAGAGGTGCTGCACCTAGTTGAGTTCTACCTGGAGGAGGGAATCACTGATGAAGAAGCAGTCTCCCTCATTGACCTGGAGGCACCAAGACCCAAGCGGGAGAACAAATGGCAAGAAATCACAAGCAACAGTATCCTGTGCCCTTGGCCATTGTGCAGTGGGCCTGGGGGCAACACGGCACACAGGAGGGCCAAGCTCAGGGGGTAGTAGCCGCTGCTGAGCCTGGCCCTGTGGCCTCAGAGAGATTAGAGAAGCCCACGTGGTGGCAGGGGCTGGGGCCCGAGATGGGCAGAGAGGGGCTAGGGTCTGCAGACCCAGAAGTGGTGAGTGGCACCTTGGTCTTACGCTGTGCCCCATTCCCGTGAGAGTCTCCCACCCGCCCTGGCTCCTCCTGGCCACACACAGCTGATAAGTGGCTAACACAGTATGTGATGTCTGTACTGGTGGCCCTCACCTGGTCAGGTGACTTTTACATGCAAGTGACAGAAACTATGACTCAGAGAGGCTGGACCAGCTAAGGTGTGCAAAGAGGCCCAGCAGGAGCAGCAGTGCAGTGGGTCCAGGTGCTTGCTCCGTGCGTCTGGGGCTGTCTCTGGTTCTCTTGGCTCTGCTGTCCTCAGTGTGGCTTCATTTGGAGCAGCATCACCCCGCCCACCCCTCAACACAGTGACAGAGATGGCCACCAGCAGTGCTGACCTCACGTCCCATCAGCCTCGCAACCCCCAGAAGCAGCCGACGCTTCTCCCAGCTGTGTCATTAAAAACCCCAGGGCACACCTCAGCTTGTCCCGGTGGCCAGCAGGGATTGTGGGAGTTGTCCAGGCCGGGTCCTGCGCTCACACTGAAGCTCGCGGCTGAACATGGGAGGGGGCGTCTCACAGGCAACGTGCACACGCATCACCTGGGACCTTGTTATCACCAGTGGCTGGGTCGCTGGCCTGCTGGGGCTGAGGGCCTGCCTTTCTAGCGGGCTCCCAGGTGATGCCACTGTCAACGTTGTGAGGCGCAGAGGTGAGAGGGGAGCATAGGGAGCTGTTTGCAGAAGTACAGAACTCGTGCCTGCCACCTGGGCTGACTGCAGGCACCATCAGATGCTCAGGCCGGGTGGGGACTGGTGTGTCCATTCCCTGGGCCTGCCTTTGTCGTGTCAGGTCCTCCACAGAGAGGTGGCTTCCAGGCGCCTCCACGCTAGTCTGACCTGGCTTAGGGGTCTGCTGGAGCTCTCACCCCCTTCTGCTCTGTGAAGTGTGACCTGTGAGCCATCGCGAGTGCCTGCAGACCACGTGACTGCCGGGCGTTTGCAGGAATGCCGGGCTTGCTGGCTGCGCTTTCCAGCCGGGCCCATCATTTCCACCCCCACTCGCAGTGGCTCACAGGCCTCTGCCTGCGCAGTGCTTCCGGCCGGCCAGCCCACAGGAGCCACGGTGTGGCCTGTGTGGGGAGGTGGTTGAGGGCAGCAGGGGCCCAGCAGAGCCCCTTTTCTCCCTGTCCCTAGCCTGTGCACTGGGGCCAGCTCCTCCCTGGCCTGTGTCCTTTCTATTCCTCTACCTAGAAACTCATTGCACAGGCCTTGCCACTGTCCCCAGAGCTATGGGGAGACACAAAGCCTGGCTGATCTCCTGTGAGTCTTAACACGCTGGGTGCAGGGTGGGCCCTGTTTCCGGCTCGGCCTCGGTTTCCATCCCTGACCAGACCCCTACAGATTCCCAGACTCTGCGGCTGGATGAGACCGTGGACTCCGTGGGAGACGACGACCCGTTCACGGCAAAGCTGAGCTTTGAGGTGAGGGCACCTCTCTGAGTGACGGCTGCCAAGGCACTGACGCCTGTGGGAGGGCGGTCTCAGGTCCTTTCTCCTGTGCACACGGGGACCCTCTACTAGAGGTTGTGGCCAAGGAGGATTGGCCACATCTTCCAGATGTGGCAGCCTGACGGGGGTGTTGGGAGCCAGGGCTGCCCTGAGGCCAAGGGTGCTGATGGGGAGGCAGCTTCAGCTCTGGCATGAGGAGGAGCTTGTCACCGTGAGGGAGTCCTCTCAGGCCACCCCCAAAGATCCCGGGATCGTAATCCACGTAAACATGTCACCGTGGCTGAGTGAGGGCACCGGTGCCCTGCTTCCCTCCTGCCCGGCCCCACAGCAGGGTGGCTCGGAGTTCGTGCCCGTGGTGGTGAGCCGGTCGGTGCTGCGCTCCATGAGCCGCCGGGACGTCCTCATCAAGCGCTGGCCGCCGCCCCTGCGGTGGCAGTACTTCCGCTCGCTGCTGCCCGACGCCTCCATCACCATGTGCCCCTCCTGCTTCCAGGTACAGCGCCCGCCGCAGCAGCTCATGTGTGCTTCTCTCTGCTGCTCTTCCATTTCCCAAATGTCCCTCTGCGGAAGCCAAGCGTCTGGGAGGAGCAGCACAAGTGTGCTCGGAGGGCCACGGCCTTGGCTCTGAGCTGGGGGAAAAGGTTGGGTTGTCCCCGCCCCACCTGGTATGCCACGTGCTGTCCGGAGTGGACGCCACTTGACCCTGTGCTATCTGCACCTGCCCCAAATCCAGGAGGACTGGGCAAGTGTGGTGTGCCTTTGACCTTCATCAGAAAAAATGGGCGTCAGCACCCCCCCCCAAAGGCAAGACAGGCCCTTTGTTTTGAGCCCCGCCTCACTGCAGCATCGGGGCTGCTGGCCCTCTCTCCTCAGATGTTCCACTCGGAGGACTACGAGCTGCTGGTGCTTCAGCACACCTGCTGCCCCTACTGCCGCAGGCCCGTCGACAACCCCAGCCCGTGACCAGTGCCCGCGGGACCAGCGCTGCCTCCGCCGCCTTGCTGTCTGCTGGGCTGTGGAAGGGAAGAAAGAGTTAAGCTGTCAGAATGTGTCTTCTGCCCAGATGAAGTTTGTATTTTAGGGAGGGGCCTTGTGTAACCACGGAATTCCTATTTATGGCATTTCATGCCTTGTAAATAGCACCAGGAGATGGGGAAGGGAATGTACATATCTTTTCTAAGAAAAAAAATCTGTTACTTGCAGAAGGGCTCCGAGTTGTTCGTGGCAGCTTGCTGGAGTCCACAGATCTGTCAGACCGTTAACACGTACACTTTGCCAACAGATTGCCTCAATAATGAGAAATAAAAGGGCTACTTATTTTCATCAGTGTCTGCATTTTAGCAAATCTTCATATTGTCTGCAACTTAATTTCCTTATGCAAAAGTGCACCTGTTTCTAATTTGATCCAAAAGGAACATTACATTTGTGTGCTCTTAAAATTTAATCTCATAGAAATGGCAATATCGGAAGGGGTAGGAGAGTGGGTATTTTTTTGTTTATTTTGGTTTAATGGGCATCCGTCTTAAGAAAATAAGATACCTGGCTCCAAAGAAGATGGCAAAGAGGTTGAAATAGGCTCCCGAGTGGTAACCTGGTCAAGGCAAGGGCTATTCCCCTGGGCTCTAGAGCCTCCCTCCTCCCGCCACCTTCCCCAGCCCCGCAGAGGGTCCCCAACCCAACCAAAGCTTTCCCCCTTCCCTCCAGCTCCTTGGCACGTGGGACTCCAGCCCACCCAGGTGCGTTCCCTTGGGCACCAACAGTGTGCAGTCCAGCAGCTCAAGGGCCTGGGAGGAGCAGCGGGTGGGAAGGTGGGGAAGGAAAACGCGCATTTATCGGAGACCTTTGTGCGCCAGCCACATTTCACATGTTGTCTCAGTTCTCACAGCAGCCCTGTGAAGGAAGGGCCGTGACTTCCAGTGGGGCTGGGGAGAGGGGGCTTGCCGGGGTCCTGAGGGAGAGGCCCACCATTGTCCAGCCCTGAGGCCCTGCTCTCTTCGCCCACGCCCTCCCTGATGGAGACTTTCTGCAAAGCCCAAGAGCCTTGGACACAAGCAGGAGAAAGGGAACTAGGCTGTCAGCAGCCACACTGAAAACCAGCCCTCGTGATGCAGTTACGGGTCCCTTACAGCTCATCTGTGAGGTGGGCAGGGCAGGACAGATGTGCCACTGGAGGGACAAAGATGCTGAGGCCCAGAGAGGGCGGTAGCTGCAGAGGTCACCAGTGGAAAGTGCCGGAGCCCAGGACCTCTGCCCCAGCCCAGCCCCGCCCCTCCTCCCTGCCTCCCTTGGCATTTCTCTTGGGAGATGATGGAGGAAAATGAAGAACGGGAGCCAGACAGTTGTGCCAACAGAGCTCCTCCACTGAGTGTCTAATTACTTCGATCATGCATGCTCTCGCTCGCTAAACATTTATTAATGTGTTAGGGTTTCCATTAGCGCGTTACTTGAACTGAAATCATTTGCGTGTGGCTGGGAAAAAGGGGAGCGAGAGAAGAAAACAGCTCCAGCTCCCCAGCAGTCAATCACAGTGACAGATCAGATGGTCCCTGGCTAGAGGCAGGGGGAGGGGCCCGCCAGAGCCTGCAGCACCCTCAGCCACCCAGGGCAGGCTGAGCTCGGGAGGCCTGAGTCTGGCCGTGGCGCCCACTCCGTGGAGCACTTTCTGAGTTCCCAGCCCCATGCTACGCACTTAGTGCTTCACCGTATCTCCTCCTCAGCAACATCCAAGGCTTCCCATTATGCAGATGATGAAACTGAGGCTTGGCAACATTCTCTTTTCTTTCATTCAACAAATACGCACTGAGCCAAGGCGGCATGCTCACCCAAGTGCACGTGAGCACCGTGTTCTGCTCCTCTCCTGTCCCCACCCGATCTGGGTCTTGCTGAAGTCTTGTTGTGCTCTCTCTGAGGCTCAGTGTCCACAGCTGTACAGAAGGGCCTCCTCCTGCTCTGACACTGAGCTTCCAGCTTCAGTCTGAGTCTGTGAATGGGGCTCAAACCCATCGAGCCCTCACGTGATGAGGAAGGCACCACAGGGATATGGAGATGCCCATTTAACTAAGAGGCCTCAGGCCCAGAGAGAGGAGTGACCGCCGGGGGCTGCACAGCTTGGTGGCGGTTCAGGCTGGGACTCGATCCTGATCCTGCCTCCAAGTGTTCAACATTGTGCCTACATCCTTGGAAGGAGGAGGAAGAAGAGGATTGGCAACCTTAGGTGGACCTGACTCTGGTCCTGCCTCAGCCAGCGAGTGTCTTTGGGCCTCGGTTTCCCACCTCTCCCCAGCAAGGCTGTGAAGCCAGGAGCTCTTTGTGGCTCTCGCACGGGTGGGCAGTGCTGCTGTGTCTCTCCCTGGCTAGGGTCTGTGCGCCCATGGCAGAGGCGAGCTGGGCAGATAGCCTCAACAGAGGCCACCACTGGGCGGGGAACTTAGCGCCAGGACCCTAGCACTCCTCCACCCAGACTGTGGAACGTTTTCCTAGAATGGAAACCTGGTCACGCCGCTCCGTGCTTGTCACCCACAGAGGTTCCACACTGCCAGCCAGCTAACACCCCGACTCGTAGGTCTGGTCTCTGTTCCCACCATGCCACCCTGGGGCCCCAGCACCTCCACACCCAGCTGGCCCTTCCCCGCTGCCCTGCTTGGAAGGCTCTTTTCTGAGGCAGCCACTCTGGGGAGCCTCCCGGCTGCGTCCTGGTCCACCTCCTGCTCCTCGGGCTCCCCTGGCACTAGGGCCAGAAGCAAACTCCCATCTCTCACTGTTCTTAGTTTTTCCCTGTCTGCTGCCCCCGAGACTGGGAGCTGCTCAAGGGCAGGGACTGTAGGGTCCATGTCAGTGCCCAGCCCAGGGCCTCGTGCCCAGAAGGAGTTTGGCAAATGGGGTAAGAGGGAAGGAGGATGGAGGGAAAGAGGGTTGGTCTGTCTCCTTCCCTTACTCTCTCTTGACATTTGCAGCTCTGTCTAAGGCCACGCATCGCCTTGGTGACGCAGCCAGGTAGGGCTAAGCCGGTGAAGGGTGGTAAGGAAGGAGGAGGAGGAGGAGGAGGAGGAGGCTGCTGACCCAGCAACTCCTCTCCTGTGGAGGCTTAAGAGCCATTTGTGCGCTGCCAGCTAAGCCCCTAATCCTCTGTGGCAGTCAGGGCCCTGCACCTGGGCTCCCAGAGGAGCCCCCAAAATGGCTGCACCTGCCTTCCGACAGCCGACCCCAGGGCCCCATCCGCACCCCTGCAGCTCCTCACAGCTCTTCCCCAACCGAGGGGGAGCTGGAGGGGCCAGTGGCTCAGAAACTCCCCCACACTTGGACTTGGTCACCACCCACACTGTGGGTCCTCTCTGGACTGCCCCACACATGAGGGCATGCTAGCCAGACCTGGGTTCAAATCCCGGCTCTGCTGAGGAAACTCGACCCTCGCAGCCCCAGATGCCTCAGTGCCAGAGGGGAGTGGGTCCCTGCTCGCAGGGGGCGGAGGAGTTGTTCATTCAGTCAACAACTGTTTACCGAGCACTGCCGTGGGCTGCAAGCTCGGGTGCCGCCGTGAACAGGCCGGCCCTGTGTTCTAGAGACAGGGTCAGTCGGTCAGTAAGAAGACAAATGCGACGTTGCTGACAGCGCTAAGTAGCCCGTGGCAACCGAACGTGCTGGGTGGCCTGGCGTGCTGGGGGCCGGGGGAGGCCTCTCCCAGGACACGCGTGGGGCAGAGACCTGAAGGGGACTGGGGAAGAGATTGGTCCTGTCAGCACGTACTGCTCCTCAAGGAGCACGCCCACAGCCGACGAGGCAGGCGCCACTGTCGCTCCCCCTTTACAGAGTGGGGAACCGAGGCACAGGAAGGGGAGCCTCGCCCACGAGGGAGGACAGCGAAGCTACGCGGAAAGGTCCAGGGTCCGAGAGCCGGGCCCTGGTGGGGAAAGCAGGTCGGTTTACCCTGCGGGTGTGTGTGAGTCTCCCAGGGTTTCAGGTTCCAGCACTCTGAGGCCCAGAGAGGGGCAGTGGGGCGACCTGCTAGAATCCACCTTCTCCCCTCAGGGCTTCCACTGCTGCACCAGGCCTGTGACTCAGTCTAGGGCCTCTCCACTGTCCCAGCCAAGCCTTCTTTCCACACTGTTCTCGTGGCCTGGTTTTCCTGAGAGCTGGCTGGCCCTGATGGAGACCTGGCTGTGTAGAGCGCCATACCCCACAAGCCCAGTTGACCGTGTGGTTATGGCCCAGGCTGTCCCTGACCTGTCACATGACCTAGGTGACTCACAGCCAACTCCGGGCCTCAGTCTTCCCATTGGCAAAATCGGTATAGCGGGGAGGGTCAGAATAGGTGACTTCTTTTTTTCTTTTTCTATTTTTTTTTTTTTTAATAGAGACAGGGTCTCACTCTTGCTCAGGCTGGTCTTGAACTCCTGAGCTCAAGCAGTCCTCCCGCCTCAGCCTCCCAGAGTTGCTAGGATTACAGGCGTGAGCCACGGAGCCAGGCCCAGAGTAGGTGACTTCTAACGACCTTTCCGGTTCACTTTGTGCCTGTTGCTCTGAATAAAGAGCATTTTTTGTTTTTTTTAAATCCTTTGTCAAGCTTTACAGAATATTGAGTAGCTCAGTGATTTTAGTACACCCTGAGGTTGGGATTGTGAAACTCTCTCACGGAGGAGGAACCTGAGACAGAGAGAGGTACTTACTGAGATAATCTAGATCCATCCACCCACTCACTTGTTCATTCAACAAATATTCTTTGAGTACCTTCTACGTGCCAGGCCCTGAGGATACACCAGTACACAAAACACAGAGACCCCAGCGCTTTCTAGTGCAGGGAAGACTGTTCACGATGCCCCTACCACACGCCAGGCACCACGCCGGACTCTGGACAGACCCAGGCCCCCTTGGGGGCTCCCCTGGGAGATGGGCACAAAACACACGAACAGAACGCAAATAAGGTCCAATCAGTTACTGCACTAGGTGACAAGCCCAGTGCCGAGGTACTGCTGAGCTGTGCCGGGCAGGGCTCAGCCTGGCCAGGGCGGAGCGGCGCTGACCCAGAGCATCCAGTGTGCCCCCTCCGTCTG